GACCCCAATGAGTATTTCCATGGAATTTGGACAACAGGACTGATGTCAATCTCCTCTGAAAGCTAGAAGTGTCCCTCAAGCTTTGCGTGCTCGGCTATTGATTTAGGCCTGCTGAAGCGCAACACTTTACTATGGGTCAAAGTAGGTGCTTTGCATCCTATATTTGGGGCGTCTAATTTTGACCCACAGCCAGTTGCCAACAGTCTTCACAGGTCCTCGTCTAGCTATTGTGTCATTGGTGCAACTGAGCGCTTTTCCGAAGGAGCATTATATCCAGATCCAAACTCGCATGATTCGAATATATTTTTTGGGAGGTGACATGTCATGCAGCTTCACATGCTCCATATCTTTATCCTGGACTGTAGTTTTCCATTTTTGTTTGATGTGGGGTTGTGCAACTCTGACATTTCAGCCCATTTAATATTTATTTATTTATTTAATTTGTTTATTTATTTATTTACTGTATTTATTTATTGATTTGTTTATTATTTATGAACATAATTACATAATCATCAAAGGACAACTGTTTGCCAATGAGTTGGTTGTAGCTACAGCTCCTTCTGTGCTCCATTTGACATTGCGACCCATGGCAAATTCTTCGTGCGAAGCAGCCCCGCGACCGGCCGAAGCAGGTCATCAGTCATTGCGGGGCCGCAAGCTCACGATGAGCTCAAGGACCATCAAGACCGAAGGGAGAGTCCCTCGTAAAGAGGTTGATGACTTCCTGTAGTAAATATAATGTACATTAATGTGGGTTCGCTTTTAGCTGCATGGTTTTGTCCATAAAAAGGCCACTCAAGAGTTTGGTAGAGGCCCAGGCCACTGGTTACATCATAATCTCGCTATCATGCCTTTTGATGCCTTACACATGGGACTCTTCAATGTTGGGGCCCACTCAAATTGGAACTTGGAAGCATGGGTTGGGAAACTTGCATTTCCGGGATGGTTGTGGCCACAGCTGTGGTTGACATTTTGATGATCAATCTGAGTCATCATGAGTTTGCCATCATTTTGTTGGTCAAAATATGTCAAAATCCTGATTTAATGTCTTTTGGTTGGTTCTATTCCTAAAGTTTTGCTGGTTCATTCGCAGTCTTGCGTCAGCAATAGGATCCGACCCCAAGTATAGAAAGAGTATCTGTATCGCAGGTTGATGAAATCTGCATCATTTGCTCTTACGCCTGATGTCACAGGTAGCCTTGAGCTCGGCCCACAAGACCCATGCCTACTTTAATGGCGAAATGGGAAGCCGATGGAGATTCAATCCCTTGGATGTCTTGGTGAAAGAAAATCACCAAGGAATCCAAGGATTGGAAGGTGTAGACTGTAGACACTAGTGACGTCACAGGTGAGAAGATTGACTTTGATGAATGAATTAATAGTCAATTGTTTGGGTGGTTCCAACATGTTTCGCTTATGACTTTTCCATCCGGATCATTTCTAAAAAGATGATCGCCATTTGACTCTTTTTTGTGCGAAGCGTGGCTCAATCACTGCTGCCTGGTAACTGGTGGTGCCGATCATACCAAAAGTTGGTCATGAGCCAAGACCTTCATATCGGTTCGCAGGAAATAATGCCATGGATGAAAAAACACTCAGGTACCATGACCATGAGGTATCCTGGCTTTACCTCCTTGTTATTGGACGTTTATCCCCCTGTTTATATGGCATCATGGGTTTTGACCTATACCCATATGGGAAGCACCCTCTTGAACCTTCAAAGTGCACTGAACCTTAATGAGGACCATCCGCATCATCACCCTCAGTGGCTCTTGACATTTTCCGTTCTTTTAATGAAGCCCCCTGAGAAGTCACTTAGTGTCGCGGTGGCCAGTAGACCACTCCACTGTAGTCGTCGGGGGATTCGGAATCCATCGGAATCCCTCAGAGTAGCTCAGACCTGAAACCCAAACCGTTCAGCTGTGGACCTGCTGGTTGGTGTTGGGATGGTGTTGGATGGTGTTGGGATGTATTTGAGATTATCTGAGGGTCCAACACTGGGTTTCAGTTGTCTACGCACTTTGCTCAGGTTTTGAGGTGCGTCGTGCACTTGGTGGGCCTGTCTGATAGGAAATGCAGGCAGATCCATCCGTTCCGTCCACTTGGAATGCAGGGTCTTCAGAAAAAATTGGAGATGAAAACGATAAAAAGAAGTTCCCCAGGAATCAGTGTCGGGACTTTTCGTCACTTTTCGAAGGACCCTGAGGCATCAAGAGGTGAGACCTTCAAGGGGTCTTCTTTTCGGGCAATGCAAAAACTCCCATGGTGTAGTGTGTCTTTCAACCCTCAAGGCTTCACCCACTGAGTCCCTGGGAAGTTTTACCCAGGGTCGACTTTCTAAACTTCCAGGACTGGTCTGAAATGGTCGGGGCCAAGGGAGCCACAAGGGAGCCGACCTACCATGCGTACAGCGGCGCCCCAAATTCGGCCTTCCTTTGTCAAACCGCACAAGTCGGGCCTTCAAATGTCGAGAGCCGTTTTTCAACTGCTCAACCCGCAGAAGTCGACCTCCTAGAAGGGAGGCAGCGGTCGTTTGAAGTATAGAGAAGGTCTGGCAGTGGCAGTCCGACTCTCGGTCAAATATATTCAAAGAATTTCAATTATGTACAGATCTGAATGTGGCCACTTTACAGTCGACAGCGGGGGCACCACAGAGTCCCTCAGGGATCCTTGCAGTTGTGTGGAGTTAGTGTTGACTTTTTCATTCTAAAGATGGTTTAAATATGTTTAAATTGACTCGGAGACCAAGGGCGATGGTTCATAGTTCTTGACATACTTTGATACATGCCAGCGCATTGGATTGTTTTTTTCTTTGCATGGATGTAAGTAGACAAGTTCCTTTCTACTCATGGCAACTCACTTCGTTGTTGATTTTTTGATATATTTGTGTATTTTTAGTTGATCCGTTGTTTTATTAATTGGCATCTAGATGATAATCAGCAGCGTGCTTGGAACACTGCGTGGATCGCAACAGCAGAATGCACGACTGCATAGTTGGCCGGAATCGGCTTCCGGAACCGACGGCTGGTAGCAGCGCTTGAAGCGTATGGCAGGAAGAATTATTTGTACCGCAGGTTGACGTGATACGTAGAATATGCAGCACAGATGTGGTTCCTTAGTCATTAGTCTTGCCCTTGCTATGCTTTTTGAGGTCCGGCTAGAAGGCAAAAGGATGCAAAACGTATCAGAACATCTTCAGTGGTCAGTGCGGTAGCACTTTCGGGGCTCTTGGGGAAGGCCAACTGCCAACATCGACATAGACATGATTGGGGTGTTGGAATCAAAGCCAGGAGATGTTTGATCCACTTGGAACGTCTTAGAGGACTGAGATGACAACGGTCCCCGTGTCTCCAATGGACTCATCCTAGGGAGTTGCGTTGTGTTGCCCGGTTGCTACGACCGTTCGAAGCCGTCAACGCGTTGCAAGAAAATCATGCAGGATGTCCTGGTTTGCCAGAAATGAGAAGATTCATCACAGCATGATTGGCTGTTGCCATATGACAATCAATGCAGGAACCCGCAAAGACTTCGCTGCAAAACAAACACCCTTGAACTTTTGAACTGATCCAGATTGGTCTGCAGCCACTTCTCGGCTTGTGCTCACTGGAGTGGCTAAATCTAGTTTTTTCTTGTAGCGGTGAGAGGCAGGGCCATCTCAGAGTCTGTGTGTCAGCCAAAGGTTTCCATGCTAGGAAGAAGTGGCTGCAAGGATTGGACGTATCAGTGCATTGACTTTATAATTTACTTATGTGTATATATATATATATGAATGTAGTTATATATACATACAATTATTTTTTTGGATTTGGTGAGATCCCCAATCACGGAAGTCAGGGTTGATTCCACAAATCCCCAAGTTGTGGATGCCAATGTCTTAAGTTCGCCCGAAGCACCATGGTACGCGCCTCGCATTTGACCCTACCCCAATGGTTTCGCATATGACCCTACCCCCATTTTGGGGTAGGGTCGAATGTGAGAAAGTAGCGTTTTTAGCTGCGAAAAGAGGGTCCCGGAGATGATGATGATCATGATGATGGTGATGATGATGATGATGATGGTGATGATGATGATGATGACGATGGACGATCATGATGATGGTGATGATGATGATGATGACGATGATGATGATGATGATGATGATCATGATGACAATGAATGTAATTGTTCAAGGGGGGCTGGTTGATTTGATAGCAATGAATGAATGTAATTGTTCAAGGGGGGCTGGTTGATTTGATACCAATGAATGTAATTGTTCAAGGGTGGCTGGTTGATTTGATACCAATGAATGTCATTGTTCAAGGGGGGCTGGTTGATTTGATAGCAATGAATGTAATTGTTCAAGGGGGGCAGGTTGATTTGATAGCAATGAATGTAATTGTTCAAGGGGGGCTGGTTGATTTGATAGCAATGAATGTAATTGTTCAAGGGGGGCTGGTTGATTTGATACCAATGAATATAATTGTGCAATGCAATTGTTCAAGGGGGGCTGGTTGATTTGATACCAATGAATGTAATTGTTCAAGGGGGGCTGGTTGATTTGATAGCAATGAATGCAATTGTGAATGTAATTGTTCCAAGGGGGGCTGGTTGATTTGATACCAATGAATGTAATTGTTCAAGGGGGGCTGGTTGATTTGATAGCAATGAATGTAATTGTTCAAGGGGGGCTGGTTGATTTGATACCAATGAATGTAATTGTTCAAGGGGGGCTGGTTGATTTGATAGCAATGAATGTAATTGTTCAAGGGGGGCAGGTTGATTTGATAGCAATGAATGTAATTGTTCAAGGGTGGCTGGTTGATTTGATACCAATGAATGTGATTGTTCAAGGGGGGTTGGTTCACGGATGTCTGGTTTGAGGCAGGGTAAAGTGGGGTAGGGTCAAATGTGAACCGGGAAATGTTGTTTTTTTTTCCCGGAAGGGTTGCGTATTTTTGTTAGTGTGGGGTCGAATGTGAGGGTGCGTGCGGTTCTTTTGGAGTAGGGTCGAACGTGAGGCTGCGGTAGGGTCGAATGTGAGGTCCGTACCAGCACCATCGCTCGAGGATTCTTGGATGCCGAAGAACTCGGTGAACCCAGAGTTGGATGAGGTCATTGTCGGGCAGCCAAGGGGAGCCAATGGAAGTCACCAGATACCCCAGGATATCAACAGCTAAATCCTTGTTGTTCTATGTCAAGGATTGTTAAGGATCATCCCAGTAAAGACCGTACAGACCGTCTGATCATGTCTGATCCTTTGTGTGCCTGGATCGCCATGGATGTAGAGCCGCTGAGGCGCGCCCGGAGCCGCTTGCCATAGAATGGGGGCTTTGGATGTGCAGCTGATCGACTAACCATCTCGCCCCAGGATGGTTTAAGTAGTAAAATAAACCATGAAACGATGGGTTTTTCAGGGCATCCCCAACCTGCTAGAACCAGGCATTTTCATTGGTTTTGCCTCAGATGTTTGTTGATGAGTTCCTCTTGTTTGCCTTCAACGTCATGATTCTCAATCCGATTTCTCTGTCAAAATTTGACCAACCGCTGAAGCGGTGCCCATCGGATCAAAATGTGGCCATGAAAATTCACCAAGGAACCGGGCTTGCGCAGACTGTGGGGCCAAGGCGCCGCGCTGGGCCCGGTGGCACAGTTTTGTGAAAGCAGCAGGTTTCTTAGGCACCGAAAATTTTTATGGGTAAACCATGGTAAACCATGGTAAACCATGGTAAACCCACAAATCAACAAAATGAAGATCAACGAAGCTGAATGAACTGCGAGAGGAGTTCCAACTCAACTCAACTCATGCAACTCACCTCGGTGACTCAACCACCTTGTTTCCTCCAAGGCCGCCGTAAATCTGGGGGTTTTGGTCTGCATCGACTGCAGCGGAACCCACCGATCTCTGGGAGTTCACGTCTCGGTCCGGGACCTGAAATATTGACACGACTTTGAAACGATTGAAAATTCCAAATTGAATTTTGGGTCAATGATTTTGAACCAGGATTGGATGTTTGTAAATCTCTCCTTGCTTGGACATGATGACATGATGCTATGTTCCTTCACTGTACACCTGGCCATCAGATCAGAGCTTCACTGGGTACCTGGCCTATAGGTGTCACTGTTGCCAGGTAGTGAAGAGTGTGACGCTTGACAAGTGGCAACCAAAATGGATTGACACAGCGCTGCCCTTAACCTTGTTTTTATGTTTTTGCAGTGCAGTGCAAGGTACACTAAACCATGTCTCTTAGAATTTCGGAGAACCCTAGAACCCAGCTTTCTGTTGCATGTTTTGTTGCGGATAGTGAAGCGCCAGAACTGTGACCCAGCCAAAACACAACTGCTGAGGTCAGCAAAATCGGCAACCGCATTGGAAATGACTACTACCTCTACAGACTTCCTAAGGTTCGTCCAAAGTCCTGCATGGTTCTGGCTGGTGGTTTCAACCTGTTTCAACATGTTTCAACAACCTTGTGGGTGTCCAATCCCAATGGACTGACAAGGTTTTGTCCAACAAGTCCCATCGTTGATGATGATTTCCCTATTAAGATTGCAACTTTGCAATTTTTGTATAAACCGATAGCCATCAAAGTGACTGGTCGTGCGCGCAGCCATCATGGCGCAAGGACGTCCAACAGCCACAAGAGGGCGATAGCAAAGATAAGCGCCTCAGCTGGACCATGCTGGACCTTGCACAGATTGCAATGTGGTGTCTCTTGAAATGGTGATGCCATGGGATTTTGGGCTTCCAAATTTTGAGACCCCTTGAATGGATGCTAAAAAAACATTTTATTCCAAAACATATCATAAAATATCTAGAAATGGCAAAGCCTGTGGGTGATGCCCCATGAATGTCACCGGCATATCCCAACCTCAGTTTGCAAGGGTTTGTCGGAAATGTGCCTTGTCCCTTCTGTTTGAAAGCTTCATGAGAGATCTCGAGAGTGACCCAGGGCAGCTCCCAAACCTACTGAGGATCGCCAATTGGATCAGGAACAAGTACGAGAGAAAGGCCCGGAAATCTAACATCCAGAGCTCTAGCTTGGGGCAACCACTGGATGATTGCGCTTACAGGGTACGGGCCGAAACGATCCGAAATGAAGGTAAACCCCACATTAAATGAAGGTAAATGCCACATGCTCAGAAAATGCTGATCATCATCCAAAACCCCAGTGTTGGGGAAACTGACTTTTTCCACAACATTTCAATATTTTTGTCATGAATAAACACAAAGACATTGTCCTTTCGGACACAACAGTGTTTGCAGGATTGGGCGCCGCGGAACAAGCTCAGCCCGTCCGAATTGCTGGCTCAGGCGGGCCCTTTTTATAGGTCCTCTCTGCAGTTTGTTGGTTGCATCAAGTTGATTGCCTCCCAGAATCCTAGAATTGGCTGAAGGGAACATTTACAGGAACCACACATATTCAAAGGATACATTTTGAAACATCCTTTCCTGATGGTTCCTTCAAGAGTTTTCCCTTGAATCAATCCATTATATCCATTGAACGATCCTCTCCATTTCTGTCAATAGTGGCAGGGCCGCGACCCCGAGTCCTTCTTAAATGGCCGGGATGACGATGATGACCGCCGCAACGGCCCAGGGGATGAACGGAACGGTGGGAACGGTGTCATATGGAACGGTGTCCTTTTAACTCGGAAATATGTCGGCAGACTGGAGTATACCACCCCAGTTCATAGCACTTCTATGGGAATAATCCCTGGGAATATAGTGATTGACCACTGGAAATTTGAGGCATTTTGAGACAAGCCCAAACATGGGCGAGGATTCAATCTAAACCACCATTGACAAGCTCTTTTTGTTGCTAACCACCATTCACGTGAATTTAAGACATAACTGGTGGCATTGGCAGTACCAGTCGGAAAGCTGGTCCATAAACAACTGATTGACCCATGCTGGGTATTGTTCACTTCATGAGGTACCCAAATGGAATGGTCCAACACTAAAACAATCAAAACATTTCAGCCGAATCCAAAAAATCACAACCACATCTTTGCATTCTTTGGGGACTTGGGGAGTTTGTGATTCTTCTTGTAGCTCTGGGTTGGCTTGGCACCAAGCCACAACGTGGGTCAACTGAACTGGAGGTCGGGACGACCGCCGTGGAGGTGTGCGAAGTATCTAAATCACTACACTGGGGATGGTTCAAAATGGGGAAACTCCCAAAACTGGCTGGTTGATACAAGACATGATCAGCATATATCAGCATATATCAGCATATATCAGCATATATCAGCATTGTGCGCTTCTCTAACGGATTGAAATTTCGACTTGTTTCATCTTGTTTCCAACTTTCTGAGTGTTGACACACGCATGATATATATATATATATAATATTATGTATATATATAATATTATATAATACTGAAATGTGATGTTTGAATCTGTTCGAATCTTTGCTCATGGGGTACTTGGGCAGGCAAAGCATGGCACAGACATCCCAACAGATATCTGCAGATATCTTGAGGGATGTAGTAACAGTATGAAGATCGAATATTACACACTTCTGTTGAGGTTGTTGAGCCATGGAATATATACCATAATATACCACTGGCGATTGGTTTGTATAGGGTCTTAATATGGGCATGGCTTAGTATGGTTTTGCCTGGTGGGCCCCTTCCAATCTCCTCATACTCCAGGCCGTGATGATTATGATGAGCGGCGGCATGATGACCGGCGTAGCTGGGCGCTGAGTGATGCTGAGTGGTTGATAAAGTGGTTCAGATCTTGCTGTCGTTGCCAATTATCCATAGGAATCTTATGGAATCTTTACTATTCTTAATTTTTCATTAAATCTTAGACTACCCCATCTCTTGATTGTTTCCGTGTTGCACGTTGGGGGTGTAATCATATAAGAAATTGACATTTCAGGTTTTTGCAAAAGTGCAAAAAGCACTTGGACCACATTGGACTGGAGATTTGGGGTTGGAGATCGGCAATGAAAAAACTTCTCCAGTCTGCCAGGGATCATCCCGCGGCAATGCAGCAGGATCCAAATGGCAAAACATGGCAAAACTACTTGTGTTTCAGGATCTTCATCAGTGCATCCCTGCCTCATCCTGCCTCCAAGATGAGCCACACTTTTTTTTTTCCAGGGTCAATAGCAATATTCACAGACATGACATGTGCATTTCACCGTCCTGCCTGGCAAAGAAGAAATGCTGAAAGTTTGATTGGATCTAGAGTGATCCACCGATCCACCATCCAGGGACAAACTGAGGCGACCGCCGGCACGACGACCGTCGACACCACGACGACCGTCGACACCACGACGACCGTCGGCACCACGACGACCGGCGGCACCACGACGAGCGGCGGCGCCACGAACGGCGCGCGCCAAGCCCCGAGGCCAGGAGTCGTTGCCCAATTGAATCAGCAGGGAAAGCATGGGAAAGCCATGAAATTGATGTTTTTTTAAATGTTTTTTTGGGCTAGCTCAAGATAGTTACTAAGAAGGCTTTACCCCCACTCTTTGGGAAATTCTGTGGAGGTTGGATATCTGGCAACTTGGAGCCAGAGACCTATAGCCCACAGGACAGAGTAATGACATTGCTATGTCAATTGTGGACCGCCAAAAGGGTTTCCTTGCAAAATCAAAACACTGTGGCGGATTGGGTTTAGGGGCCTAGAAAGATCCATATTTTTTGGAAACAAATGAACAAACACACACACGCACATGTACATATATATATAATATAATTATATATAATTTAATATAATTATCTAATTATATATATATATACATACAGATCATTAAGATGCTAATGGAAAGAAACCATTTTTCGACTATTATCAAACCCAAACTTGGGATTTCCGCACGGCCATGTTCAGGCGTCCAAGCAGAAGCCGGCCAGAGCTGGGCACTTTGGGGGTTCAACTGAACGATTTTGCCCCTATTTAAAAGGCATGTTTACTCGAGAGAATGAGGAGAAACCGTTCGATTTGGGGTTCGGTTCGTATTTTTTCTTCCCCCAAGGCCCCAGCGCCAGTCCGGATCTCGGTTGAGATCATCAAGTCACCTTTTGCGATAGAGAGGAGTTGGTAAAGTCATATTCCCATAGGATCCATGTATGCTATATATGGTAGCATTTACCATCACTATATCCCCAATGTTAGTATATATACCATACATGGATCCTATGGGATTGGAATTCAAACCATGACAAACCACACTGAGATTTGATTTGATATTGTTCCCTCTGATGATGTTTCAATGGATCTGCTCCCCCATTGAGGCATCTGTGGACCTTCTGGATAGCTTTGATGCCACTTTGGCAGCACTGGGTTGGTGAATCCTTGGTTCAGGTTGTGACATGGCGATTGGCTGAGTTTCAACTTTTGATGGTCCATTCGCGGTCATTCTGAAGAATGTACAGGATCCCGAATAGCCGGCACCCATGGAGACTCTGTATCAAGATTCTATATCTACTAGTATGCACAAACCACCATTTTGGATAATGAAACAAGTCAACTTTGACGTTGACTCAGCCGTATAATCACAGGATAATCCACAATACATAATACAGCATAATATAGCATAATATAGGATAATATTGTACAATATAGTATTGACGAGAAGAGAATCAAACTTACAGGCCATCTGTTGAGAGCCGACGATTCGGATCCCATGCGACAAGTTAGCTTTCAGAATAACAGCGCTTCCCCCTACTTGCCATTGTTTTGCAGGCCTGGTAGACAGCGCAAAAATTGGATGATTTCATCTCTGGAGCTTTGTTGGAATAAATGCCACAACTCCCCTTATACGAACTCCTCCATCCAGCAACGACAGCTCTTGGCTGAAGCAAGGCAAAGACTATTCTAATTGTGTTTTTTTTTGCCATCTTGTGATGGCCTTCGCTATTATTCGCCATTCCTTTCGGCAGCCTGTAGTGGCCTTCGCTAATATTTGCAATTCAGTTGCTGATGTTGGAGCCTATTTTGGTCCTTTACTACATGTAGAGTTCTTCAATCGGTAAAGAGAAGATTTATTTTCAACCAAAGGTTGAAACTATGCCACATGCAGGCCTGATAGACAATTTTATTTTCTTTTTGCACACCTCGAGGTGCCGAACGGGCCCTTGTCATGGAAGATTTGCTTTATTTTTGTTTAATGTTTGGTTCAGAACCTGCAGATTTCTTCCTCGTGCCTTGGCAGCAGAAAAAAAGTACAGTATAGTATAGTATAGTGTAGTATAGTGTAGTGTAGTATAGTATAGTAGTGTAGTGTAGTATAGTGTAGTGTAGTGTAGCCTAGTCTAGTGTAGTGTAGTGTAGTATAGTGTAGTGTAGTGTAGTATAGTACAGTATAGTGTAGTGTAGTGTAGCCTAGTCTAGTATAGTATAGTGTAGTATAGTGTAGTGTAGTGTAGTATAGTATAGTGTAGTGTAGTATAGTACAGTATAGTGTAGTGTAGTGTAGCCTAGTCTAGTATAGTATAGTGTAGTGTAGTATAGTATAGTAGTGTAGTGTAGTGTAGTATAGTGTAATCAACTTTAACTCAGCATAGTCACAGAATATGAGCCTAGCAATGCACAACTTCCAGGCCCCAGCCCCCGCGGTCCCCGCGCCTGCACCTGCAGAGAGCTTCGCGCAGTGGCTGCCCCAGAAGATCTGGGATAAGTCATTGAGGCAGCAATGGATCCACCATATTTCTTCATGTTTCATCATAGTTTGATCCATTTTGAAGCATTTTGAATAATTTTTTTATCCACATGTCTCAATTTCGCGTTGGTGATTTGTAGATATTTGTAGGACAATCTAGTTTTAGGGGTTGAGAATTTGGACCGATATCCATCTCTTTTGGCTTCAGACTTTGGTTGGGATGAATTTCAGAGAGTTGAAGGGAAATGATTCGAAATTATGTTGATTTTCAGTGAGGCTATGCTTTGATGTACATCTATACCTATATATAATTATATATATATACACATACAGATACATAATTACAGGCATCTGACAAAGTCGTACCTGTTTTAGGAAAAAAACGTTGTGCCTTGGGGAAGTGTGTTTCGCAAAAGTCGTGCCTTTAGCAAGAACGCATAGGAACTCTGGAGTTTGGATATGTAACCCGTTTTCTTATGAGATCACGTAGCTGATCACTATTAGCATGCAGAATTCCAGGTTGTGGGTATGTTGATTAGTTATAGGTAAGATGGCGTTGAGCTGGTGATTTGATGATTTTGTAGTACAAAGTAGTACTGGGAAGTGCTTTGTGCAAGCTTTGTAGTACAAAGTAGTACTGGGAAGTAGTTTGTGCAAGCTTTGTAGTACAAAGTAGTACTGGGAAGTGACCCAGAGAATAGAAAAATAATGATGCAGAATCCCAGCGTTGACATGCAGGTGGCACACGATAATTACATTACAAGAGAGTAGAAAATCAATATTTTCATCAATCGCGTTCCATTGTGTTTTATTGGTTTTTCATGTCTAAAATGCATGGTTACACTTTTATTGAGGACAGCGTTCCATGCAGAAAAGCATTTAGGCATGACTTAGGCATGACTTCTTGGATACAGCGTTTACAATGGTAAATGCCATTCAAAAACATGCTAGGCATGACTTAGGCGTGACATTGTCGCTTCCCTGTACGTAATTGTCAATATATATATATATTAAGATACCTGTATCAGTTGATGTTGCGAAAAGTACGCGATCACATTCAAAGTGTTCCTCCCTTCCTGGTCTTTGCACGCAAATTACTCAAGATCTCATCAGTCGTAAGGTTCACAGTAGTAGGAGATGGACATCCATTGTTGGACATAGTATGATATATTTGCAAGTTATAAGTCATATCTACATTTGATTGATTGATTGATTGATTGATTGATGGTGGGTATCCATTGCTTTCATATTTGTTGATACCTGACATTCAATGTGTTTCTGTACACATCAGTTCATATATCATATCATAGAAAAGTCATTTTTTTAAAAATACCATATACACACATATACAAACACATCATGACATATATGCATATATGTATTACATGTATAGATGTTTATTTGTTCCACCATCCATAGAGTGGAAACGCCAAGGTTCAGCTCGTCTGAGAGCCCAGGGATGACAGCTGTGGACCAAAAGTACTTGCCGATGGCGTTTGGGTCATTGAAACAATAGCTGATGTACTCATTTGAGTAGTGTATATATATATAGATAGTATATCACTATATCATATATATATATATATAGATAGTATAAACTATATATATATAGATCTAGTACCTATATCTAGTATATCTAGTATATCACTATATCATGTATAAACTTAGATGTGAATAGAAAAATAGCTCATGCAGTTTCGAAAAAGGATCCATCCATGCCCCATGGCTGTTTCACATCCCTCAGGCCAAGCCAGCAGGTGGGGTTTCTGTCTGGGTGCTTCGGTGGGCACCACAACATGTGTACCGATGATATCCTCAATAGAAGGGGATGATAGAGGAGATGGATATTGGATGATATTGGCTACTGTCCATTTGTACCTTGAATCTTTCACTCGGTTTTTTGTGCACCATGAACAGTACAACCTCTGGATGTCGATACACAGGGTTTCAGCCCGGTCGCATCCATATATCCGAAATCATGGAAATCAAGGCCAAAGATTTGATCCCTTCAAAATCCTTCAACTAGAAATTGTTTTGGCATTGTTTCAGTGCTCCTTCCTTGAAACATCTTGAAACCCTGATACGGATATGCGTGTGATGCATGCTACGAGCAGAGAGGATTGATCACTAAACTCCACTGCAGTACTTTTAGTACGGCTTGTCATTGCTGAACACATCATAACACCTACCCCCTGGTAATCAAACATGGCAATTGGAAATCCTCGGTTTATAGATGCATTTCCCAGTACAACCTCCATTTGTAATCATTTGATATCGGGTTTTCCATTGCCACATTTGATGGAGGGATCTGGAGGGTATCTCTTGCCCAGGCGTCACATCAATCGCAAGGCCACCTTTGCCCTGGGGGAAACTGGCCTTCCGTGGAGGGGACGGAACCAACCATACTGGGGATCTCATGTAGATGATAGTAGGATAGATGATGTAGACATAGCACCATGATATAATAACTAATAATAACTAATAACATAGAAAAAATGATAATGGGATATATTATCATTGTAATGGGACGGACACACACACACAGTGTATATGTATACATACTTATACAACTCTACAACCAACAATCTGACTTGACTTTGTCCAAAAACAGTGGATTTACACACTTTTATGGCCATTGAATGCAACCCATTTTCAGACAAGCCCAGGTCTCCCCAGAATCAAACATTTCAATGATTTGATACCAATCATGGCGGATAGAAAGGAAGCTTCGGAGTTTCCTCGAAATCAAGTAGATAAATATGAACATAACACTTGTTGGAGCTTCCACTTCGATCCCCCAAGAGAAACCCAAAAAGAATCCCAAGACCCACCATGGCAACAGAAGCCTAAGACGTGCAGGCGGCTTTCCAGACATCTTCAACCAGCCGCTGGGCAGAGATGAAGGGTACCGCCGGACAAGCCAAATAAGCAGCCCAGATGGCTTACCCGGCTTACCCCAAGTGTGCAGTCTTGTGGCTACTCCACCAGAATGAGTTCAGAAGCATATTACAGTACAAGATTGAAATTATGGCAGTGTAACATAGGACATAGGAAAGAGGAATCGCAGTGAATCTTCAAAGTTTCTTTGATGTCAAAGGTATTTGGATCCAGCCTGGATTTCTGTGCTGTCAAGATGCAGGTTGATGCACGGTTTTTTCGGGTCCCTTTTTTGCAACTGCCGACTGTTCCTCTTGGCTCTGAGGCCACAACAGGCTCATCAGATGCCGCAGCAGCCACAAATACAGCAGCAACAGCAGATGCAGCAGCAGCAGATGCAGCAGCAGCAGATGCAGCAACAGCAGATGCAGCAGCAGCAGCAGATGCAGCAACAGCAGCAGATGCAGCAGCAGCAGCAGATGCAGCAACAGCAGATGCAGCAGCAGCAGATGCAGCAGCAGCAGCA